GAGAAGGGATTGAGCGATGGCCACCCCCCCCCCCGCCCCTGAGGGGGGGGTGATTCTCACTTTTTGTCTTTCTGTCTCTGTTTCTCTGGCAAGCACATGTGCCCCATAGCAAAAGTCTCTTTAAAAGAAAGACTAGTTAGAAATATTTGTTATGTAGATTCCTGTGGTGCTGTGGTCTGATAAGAGTCTGAAGTTGTGTCTGATACACAAATGGGTAAGTAAAACGTGACACACACATACACAGAGGAATACTATGCAGCCACTAAAAAGAATGAAGTCCTGCCTTTTAAAGTTAAAATGGGTGAACCTAGGGGACAGTATGTTAAGGGAAATAAGCCAGGCACAGTGGGAGAAGGACCGTAGGTTCTCATTTATATGTAAAACTTGAAAAAACAAAACCAAAAAACCCCGATATCATAGAAGTAGAGCATGGAAGAATAATTACCAGAGGCTGGGAAGGATGAGAGGATAGAGAGAGAATGCTGTCTATTAATGCAAACAAAACTAGAGCTGAGCGGAACAATTTGCTGGATGTCTCCGAGTAACTGGGGGGTGGGGGAGATTGTTCCCAACACACAGTAAAAATGGATGGTTGAGGGATGGTATACTAATTACCCTTATTTATGTCCCATCGTATTCTTATACTGAAAAATCACATTGTATCCCACAAATATGTATATTATATATTGATAAAAAAATTTTTTTCCCAAGTCTCTGGTGATGAGGGGAGAGAGGGGACACTGTTGTAAATTACGTCTGCTTTGAGGCAGCCGTGGGAAGGCAGCGTGCTTTTCTTTTATCTGCGTCTTCTCAATTACCTTCGGCTCCAAGTGGCATATTTTGCCACCCTACAATCCTGCCCTTCTTTATTTTCTTCTACCGCGAGAGCTTTCTAATACAGAGAAGGGAAAGTATAGAGAATAACGCAGCAGTTGTGTGTGTCTCGAGCTCTGAGTTTGACACTTTCTGTCCTGTTTGCTAGGACTGTCCTAAGGTGGTAGGTGATTCCAAGGAGGGCTGAGAGCCTGGCCGACCGCTTTCTCCCTCCCAGGAGGGGGAGCCATCTTTCTGAGCTTTTAGTGTTTCTTTCCTGTTGTGTGCTTCTGTGCCATTACGCCAAATGAACACGTCCATTAGAATCTGTAGAATCGTGCTGCATTTTTCAACATGTACCTAGACATGATACTATGTTGTGTGATTCATTCCGCAAAGTGCCGCCTTCTAGAGCTCAGTGTTGAGTTTTCGGGATCACCCATATGGAATATAGCTCTGGTTCGTTTCTTTCACAGCAGTGAAGCCCGTGGGACAAGGAGACGGCAACCTGACCAAACCTCTCCTGAGTGACCAGTGTGATTACACATTCCCATTGAACCAGGAGAGCTGGGTTTATAGGAGACATTCTTGTACCTCCTGCTTGTACACATGGCCCTGGTCGTCTGTACTGAATTGACGGAGGAGCGAAATTGCTGGTTCACTGGGCCCTTGTCATCCCAGGTCAAGCCAGCTGCCTGCTTTTTTTTTTAATTTCATTTTATTTATTTATTTAAATTTGACCAGAGGGGGATAGAGTGAGAGAAAGAGAGAAAGTGAGAAAGCAAGCCGCCAGGTCCAAGACTTGAACTGTGGTCGGCCATGTGGGAGTCCAGAGCCCTTAAACACCACGCCACCTGCTGGCCTCTAAGCCAGCTCTGTCTACTCCTTTCTGGATCCCTGCCCCACCGAGATGGGGGTGTCGCAGATGTGGTTGCTAAGCAACCAGGGAGGCCTTCCAGGGTCTTGTCTGTGTCTGTCTCAACACCCCTTTAAATCCCCGGTCCCAGGTGACCATTGGCAGCCTGTCCAAAAGCCTGGGTCTTTTCTGTGGAGCCTTTGTTACTCTTGACTGTGAGGAAGCTCCCAGCCACTGTTGCCTCTTGGGAACCCCTAGGTATCCCTGCTTTAGCCTCCTCATGACCCTGGGTTCCCCCTACTCCTGGTCCCCAAACTGATCTCATTTCTGAGCTGGGCCCTGTCTGTTGGTTCTATTTTTACACAGTACCTATCACTGCTCCATGCTCAAAGCAGGGGGATTATTATAACATGGACTTGCCGCATTCTGACCCAAGCCTGCATTTTTCCCTCTCCTGCTGCTCTGTCCTCGAAAGAAAAGCCAAAGGTCGCCTTTTTTCTTACCTGGGAGGTTTCAGGCTGCCCAGCAGCCCTTTGGTTAATCCTTACAAGCTGTGGTCATCCCCACAGTTAGTTAGGGCTCCTTTTAAATGCCGGGGTTTCGAGGCACCAGCACCAAGTTGAAGGGCCTCTTCCAGGCCTTGACTGCTGCTGTCTCTGGCTCTAGCTCTGGGAGGAGATGGGACGTCCCTGATTCCTGATGCGTGTGGGAATCCATACACAGGAGGCCCTTGGCCAGCAGTCATGCCAGCAAACCCAGGGCTGTGAAACCGAGCCTGTGTGTACCCCAGGCTGGTGGCATCCCAGCCCCTCTCATTTCACTTCTTCACGTGTTTGTCCTTCTCCTGCTCTTACAGACAGAAGGCAGCCATGCCACGCAGCCCAACGTCCAGCGAGGACGAGATGGCCCAGAGCTTCTCTGACTATTCCATGGGCTCAGAGTCAGACAGCTCCAAGGAGGAGACTATCTACGACACCATCCGGGCCACAGCAGAGAAGCCTGGTGGCGCCAGGATGGAGGAGAGCCAGGGCAACACGCTGGTCATCCGTGTGATCATCCAGGACCTGCAGCAGACGGTGAGCGGCACGAGTGTGGCACTCTGCTTTCGTTCTCTTCAGCCCTTTCGTTCACTTCTTGGTCATGTTAACTGTGGCTTGAACACCAGAGGGGGCCTGAAGGCGCCAGGCTTCTTCCTCTCACCACCCCTCTGCCCTCCCTATCCCAGTCAGCTCCTGCCCGTCCCCTTCTTCCCGAATCTTCCTCTCTGCCTGCCAGGGCTGTTCTTCCTGTCTCAGTCCAGTCCACAAATACTCACTGAGCACCTACTGCATGCCAGGCCTAAGGCCAGGCCTCAGGGCACACAGGCACAGAGGAGTGACTGGCAGCCTGGCAGAGGAAACTCGAGTGGCACATGTGCATTAGCAAGCCGCACTTCCTGTGTGTCGGTAGGGCCTGGCCCTGCCTCCTCCCTGCTGACTGCTCACACACAGTCCCAAGCACTCCTCTCCCAGAGTGTACAAGCTCTGTCCAGGCTCCCTTCCCTGCCCTGCCCGCTGGCCAGCTCCTAGTTGTCACCCAAGCCGTGGGCCCAGTGTCATCTCCTGTGCTGCCCTGCTGCTCATGTTCACTCCATCACCCTGTGTGTTTCTCCTTCACTCTCTTCCATGGTGCCCGTGGCTCGGCTACCCCGGAAAGGTGTCTTGTGGGCCTGGGTAGGGGCCGTGAAGGGGTAGGTGTTAGTTCCCGCTGCATGGCTGATGGTCTTTGAGGTGGGAGCGAGCATCCTGTGACACTGAGATGTGACCCTCTGATGATGCATCTCCTGCGCATGTCCCTTCATGGCTTGTTGACTTTGGTTCTTTGAATTCATCAGCATTTTCTGAAGAAATCGAAAACTGCCCAAAGCAGATAAGAGCTGACAAATCTTACCTCTCCGTGTTCCCATGAAAGGCTTTACATT